GAGAACTTCGCAAACTCTCGGCGAGCCCAATAGAGATCAGCACCTCCATCGAGATCTTCAGCCCCCTCGTGCTCCGAAGATCGAGACCAAAGCTGGGCGTGAAAATCAAGCATAACGTCCTCCAGCACTCCGCCCACATCCATCTCATCGCCAGAAAATCCATCCAGAGATGATGTGGGGATCTTCCATTCAGCAAATCCACCATGCTCTGGCCGCCACCAGGGAGTAGCTGAGGATGGCTTCCAGCCAGCATCAAGCAACGTGGCAATCACTGCAGACACTGGTCCCTTGACCAATCGCCATCGCCCTGCCCGCCCCGCAATCTGCAGACGACGAAGAACTTTCGGCCAACGTGTTTCAACTCTCTGATGACATTCAGGGTGAAGGCGCCAGACCGTCATATACTCAGCCAGAAGCTGGCGTCTCAGCTCCAAGGCGGGGTCTTTCTGACCATACAGTATGGCTAATGTACTGGTCAAGCACCTGCCCTTCAACGGGCCTGCTCCTGCAGTAACCGCCTGACGTCGAGGGCGAAGGGGCTGGTAGGGTGCAGGGCCATGCACTTGATGTTCATATGCTGCCTGCGGCAGCGCCCCAGTCTTCCAGGCCCTGTGAGACCTTGCGGAGCCGTGCATGACGCCGAAAACGCTGCAGACGAGCAGCACGGCGAGCCGCGTTAGCAGCGCACTGGCAATATTCGCGAACCGTCCTCCGTCCACCACCAGTGGCGTCGACACCAAGGTCTACCGCCTCCAAACAATACTGCACTGGAGTAGACTTGCGACGAAGCTTCTTGGCCAACTTTTTGCCCAAGCTGATCACATTAGAGATGAGCACCGTCTTAGGGGAGACCACCAACCGCATAGTATCCAAACCCTGCTTGAACTCAGTAGCAGACGCAACCATACGAGTCTTTACCTTATCCTGAGGTCCCTCTGAACGCAACGCAGTATCGTCGGTGAATGTCCAAAAGGTCGTAAAATCGGCTCTGGCCTGAGCACGCTGCAACAGCGGGTGCAGGAAGAGCTTAGCTGACCGCGCCCCATGAGGGGAACCCGCCGCCAGCGACCGAGTCGGCAGGATGGCATTGGACGCTCCCTTCTGGCCACGAAGAAAGCGGGGACCAGCGCATAACTGCACCTCCAGGCATACCACAATGGGCGGGTACCCCAACTGCTGCTGCAGCGCAGCCCAAAAGGACCCAGGACAGCGAGTCGTAAAACTTCTCGAAGTCCAGCAGCAGTGTGGCCACCGTGATGCCAAGCACCGTCGCCGTCTCGTCAAGTAGAGCCCTCAGGAGAGCGGCGCGTAAGGCGCTGCTGCCTGCAATAGCCGTGTCCCAGTGCGCCTCCAAACATTCAGTCCACTCCGAGGTGGCACCATCGCGCAGGCGGCTCCAGATCCTAGCAGACTCGGCCAGGGGCCCAATGACCCTTTCCCCTCCCTTGGGTTTGGGAAGGAGAGCGCAAATTGTGCTAAGCAGCTGCGCTGGCCAAACTCCTTCCTGCTCAACTTGGTCAAGCAGCTCCAGGAATTCCACCCGACCTTGGGGAGGGGCCTTTTGAAGATCACGAGGAGCGAGATCATCGACACCTGAGGCCTTCGCAGGAAGCTTGTCCACCACGCGCTCCAAGAGGCTTCAACTCCAAGGGAGGCAAGGGGTCGCGCCGAGATTCGTGATGCAACAGCTGAAGCGTATGGGTGATGGCCTCAGCATCGTCAACTGCGTCAGCCCACAAGGATCGCCAATCTTTCCGCTTGTCGCTCATGAATTCAGAAGGTTCCGAGATGACCTGCCCATGACGATAACTATCATGCACCGCGGGCTGAGGATCACGAGCCATAGCATGAAGACGCCCAGGATGTTGACGCCATTGCTCAAGGGCCCATTTGGTGAACTGTTGCCTGCCCTTTCTGAGAGAGCGCGCCTGCGCCCGATGGGCAAGTCTTTCCGTCAAATGTGACCAGTCGTCGAGTTCATCATGATTGACCGATGGTATGGTGGCCGACCAACAAAGCCAGCGATCGCGCTCCTCCTGACCAGATGTGCCAAACTACTCCGATGTGTCTGATGATTGAAAATGAGCAATATGCCGCTGAAGTTGCTGAAAGCAATTGGGCAGCTGCTTGGGGTCGCGCCCATGCTTGGCCAGCGACACCGTCCTTAATACCAGCGTGTGCACTCTGTCCCACTGCTCGCCCACTGGGCCAGAGAGATGAGCACGGCCTGGAGCAGCCTGCGACAACTGCCACTTGAGCTGGGGACCTGCACCATGCAGAGGCTCGAAGTCCTCTTGCTGATGGTGAACACTGAAGGCCATCTCCATCTTGGTAATCCAAGTGTTGCACCTGCTGGTGAGCTGCGACGAGCCCGATGCATTAATGCCCCCAAGGAAATGTTGCCTCAGCGTGCGTCGGCTGATCTCCCCGAGCGGTGGCACAGCAATAGCACCTGAGGGCCAAACCTCTTCAGGAAGATAGACAGAGACTGAGTCAGCTTCTGCTGCCGTAGCTGCAGCCGCTTTGTGAAGCAGGTCAAATTCAGCTTGAAGATCTTCTGGAAGCTTCGCTCGACGTTGCAAACGCGCTTCAGGTTTCTTAACCGAGGCCTCACTGCTTGGGTCAGCTTGCTTTTTGGGACGGCTGACAGTCGGGAACGCTGGTGCCGTGACGAGGCGCTGATGCCACCACCTCTGCTTGGGCCCACGGATGTCAACCTGCAAGGCGATGTGCGTCTTCCAAGGAACTGGCGCAAAACCTCGCATACGAAAGCGATGTGTAGTGCCTTGCTTGACCAAGCCATAGTCGATCAATGTACCTTGAGCCGCCTTGTCGCCTGTGACCTTCACGTCTGGATGCAAAATATCGCCCTGCAGCTTCGAGGGCCATCCTGAACGAAGAAATGCAGCAGGTTCCAGATTCCAGTCGCCAACAACAATCCAGGGGTCGGCTGACGCCGACAGAAAAAGCACCCAAGCTGATCAACATAGACTGGTTGTGGCCTGATGTCGAAAGTCCAGGCCAGAGATAGATGGCACCGACGACTACATTGCCGCTGCTGAGATGCAGGATCATGGGTGCAAGCCCTCGGAATGGATCCGACTTGCCGAGCCTGACTGCAGCCTGGCGGATACTTTGAAAACTGGTGGAGGCCAGGTGCTTGCGGATAGGACTAAGCTCGCCGCCAGAAGAGCCTCCTTTGCCCGTAACCTTGCTGCCCGTGTAAGCCGTTTTCCACCCGTCAGCATAAAAGATCTGGCCGACGCCATCAGCAAACCTGGACTGTAACACGTGCATCTCAACAAAGCGCACCATGGCAAACGAGGTGGTGTTAAGAAACTTACGAGCTTGTGGACCCCATTCTGAAATATTCCCATACAGAAAAGGAAATGAACCAACATCTGCAGCGAGAGGAGCAACCATATCAGGTCGACCCGAAAGCTTATGCAGCGCAGGGAGCTGTGGGACTGGGGCCGCATCCCCCAATAACTTAGAGTCCTCGGCAGCTTCGGCCTCGCTCCTGGGACGTTCCCCTCCTCCTTCTGGAGCCGACGGGCGGAGGGGGTCAGCAGGGCGGCCAGGGACCTGAGGGCCATCAGGTTGTGGCTCCTCGGCCCCCTCAGTACCTGTGGGCGCGGCGTGAGTGGACTCAGCCGCTTCCGCGTCCAACATGTGATCCAGGTCATCGAATGGGTCGCGATTTGCGTCGTCCCAGCCCGACGCGAGACCCACCGCCTCTGGCACCGCAGTCATCTGAGTCGAGGGCGGAGTCATCGAAGCACCCGTGGAAATGCACCCCGTGCTGGAAGGGCATCCTGTTGACGCCTTCTGAGACCCACTCGCGGTGCCCGAAGCGCAGGTGGTAATCCTAGCAAAACTGGCCGAACCCGAAAGGGACGCGGAAACTGAGGCCAAACTGCCAGTAGCCGTAGTACTTGTGGGCGAAGGGCTGTGACGACCAGGGGCTGAATCCCTGCGCCCCTCGCCCAAAGATGAAGCAGGCCGCGGACTTGCCGAAGAGCTCGCGCGGCCAGTCGTCCGACCGAGGGCAGGGGCGCAAGCAACCTGACTGTCCCGGTCGTGTGGCGCTGCAAGGTGGGGGCGCCCGCAAAAGGGGAATGCCACCTGGAAGCCACCCTGCTCGCGTCGCTGCGGCGCCCGTGTGTCGAGGGTCTCCAGACCTTCCATGAACGCCATCGCTTGTCGCTGCAGCTCCTCCTGCCACAACTCGTGATCTTCGGACTCCAAGTTCCGCAGCATCTGTAACTAGCGAGCACGCTGGCTGCGCCGAGCGCGCCAAGCGCACTCACACATACGCCTGGCCATGTCAAGAGCTGCAATGGCAGGATTCCCATGACCTGCTGCAGCGGCTGCTTCCGAAATAAGCGGACTTTGCAACGGATGAGACAACCACGTCGAGATGAAGGGGACGCAATGCCCTTCCCAGTGAGCCTCGTCAGAGGCCTCGTTCGCTGAGTTAACGTCGGGGATCCATCTGGCAGCGAAAGAGCGGATACTCCGCTCAAGTACCTCACGATGGTGAATCGCAGCTCGGCGTTGGGGATCCTGATCTTTAAGCTGAAGGATGCCCGACAAGGGCTGAGAGTCGGGGAGAAAGTGAACCTCCTCCGCCTCAGTGAGGAAAGTGTCACCATACTGAGTCGTAGGGCACCCCTCGTTCAACGTGACCTTGTAGAGATTGGCTAGGTACAACTGCGGATCGAAGGCGAGCTCCTCCGCAGCACTCATGAAGATGTCGCCGTAAAAGGTCGACGGCGAGCCAGGGTCAGTAGACTTGCTAAAGTCCCTGCTGTGCTGCTCGGGTCGTGTCACAGGACTCCTTGGCGGTGCGCCTGGCGGCAGCCCGAACTTCATCAGGCCCGTCAGCTGCGCCGTTTGAGGAAGCGCCGCCGTCGTCGCCCTCAGAGCCAGAGGCAGCTGACCCACCAGGCTGAGCAGCAGCACTAGCGCCAGCGCCATCACCTGCGCTATCACCACGCCTGCGCTTCGCTTGCGTCCGCAAGGGCGCCTGCTTGGCCTCCGCTCGAAGAGCAGCGAGCTGCTCTGCAGAAGAGCCGAGCGCCTGGGAGATCTCGGCCTTGATGCCAGCCGCAAGGTTGGTCTTAACTCGCCCCCACTCGCGAAGGTCCGCAGGGTCGAGGTCGAGGCCTTCCGTGCTGAACACTGGGCCGCCGACGATGGTGAGCCCCTCGACCTCGCTGTCCTCGCCCAGGAGCGTGGGCAGGTTGAGCGACGATGCCCCTGCAGCAGAGGGTGGGGCCGCCACTGGCTGCGGGAGCTGCTTCGCACAGGCCTCCTCCCACGAGCGCTTGGCCCCGACAGCAGCCGCGGCCGCAAGGTCTTCAGCATCGCGCGCTTCCTGCAGCCAGGCCTCACCCTCCAAGACCTTGAGAGAGCAGCGCTCGAGCTAGGACTTTGCTCGACGGTACGCCACCCCCTTGGTTGAGACGTCCTCCGCAAGGAGCGGCTGCCGCGGTGCAGCAGGAGGCGGGGCTTCCTTCTTGGCGAGGAGAGCCTCCACTGCTGCCAGCGCCTCGGTGCCGTCGTCGCCCAGCTTGGCCCGCAGGGCCGCCATCGGATCGGCTGACTCGGGTGGAGCTGATGCGCCACCGTACGGGTACCAGCCCTGGTGGTATATCCACGGGCGCCTGTCGACATGGCCCGCGGAGGCGGCGGCTTTCGCCTTGGCCTTCCCCCGCGGTGGCGGCGGAGCGCCCTTCTTGCCGCGACCTTTGCCTGAGCCCGCGGCGGCTGCCGCTGCCGCCTGCGACGGCGTCGGGTCGGCGAAGGGAGACCCAGCAGGCTGAACATGGAACGGCGAGTTCGAGAACTGCGGCGGCCCAAAAGCCCACTGCCCAAGCGGCCGCTTCGAACCGTCTGGCTGCGACACCACGGCCCCCGTGCACTGGTAGCACCAGTGGTTGTTCTTGAAGTTCCATCGGTACCTGCAGTGCGGGCACGGGTCGTGATACTGCTGACGAGCCTTCCCACCACTGCTGTGCCAGCCATCTTGGGCCATGTATGACCGTGAGTGAAAGCGAGTGAACCCCTCGAAAGAGGGACCTCCGTGAGAAAAGGGTGAGACTGACTGGTGCAGGTGCCCAACCCCTGCAGTGAAGGCGAAGAACTTCAAGGTCAAGCCACGGACTGGCGGTAACCGATTTCGGCCCCAAGGGAACCAGGCATCTTGAGCCAAACTGGTTACGGAGGAGGAGGAGGATGAGGCGGAGGAGGAGGAGGAGGGAGGACGAGGAGGAGGAG